TGGAGTCTCTGGGCGTGACCTGGGTGGTGGGAGGCTGAGCCACCACCCACTCCGCTCACCTCCGGGCGGCTTCCTCGTAACCCTTTAGAGCTCTTGTTGCCCCTTCTGGGAATCCTCCCAGACCCCCTAAAGGAACAGGGAGGTCTATCAGGGAAATCGGTAGGCCAGCGTCTCTTCCCCCTCCCCTAGGGCTGTGGGGTGCGAGGGGGGATGTCCCACCCTCCGTCACCAGTCTAGGGTCGTCCCTACCCAGCCAGGGGAAGGAGGGGTCTGATGGAGGGAGGAGGGAGCGGCCTGAGCAAGGCTGGATTTATGAATGGAGAGCGGCCTGCGCGCCGGCTCAGCGACCCCTGGCGGCCGTCGGGGAGCATCGCAGCCCCGGGGATTCCAGGAGACCTAGCAAGGGGGTTTTAAGAATCCCGTTTCTGGGCGGCTGGGAGGGGAGGGGGGACGGGACTACTTCCTTTCTCCCAGGGAGGTGGTCAGTCCCTTCTTGCACTCTTCTCGTGTGTGTGTGTGTGTGTGTGTGTGTGTGTGTGTGTGTGTGTGTGTGTGTGCGCTCACTGAGGAGGCTCTGGCAGGTCTAGTGGGCGGAACCTAGATCTTCAGAATCTCCCTGAACCCTTTCCCCAACCCCTAATCAAGGCCTGAGAACTGACTCAAGAGAGAATATTTACTATTGAGAATGGATCCCTTTCCTAAATCTGTGATGGCTGGAGGACGCAGGCAGACCTGGATTGGCTTTGTGACCTTGAGCAAGGGGCTCAACCTTTCAGCTTCCCATCTCCTCATCTGCACAGCAGGGCTCTCTAATAATAATACCGGACACCGACTGTGAGGCCGGCTCCTGGGTGAAGTAGTCCCTAAGCCTCAGAGCTAGCTCACTTTCATCATCGTGGCCCTGGAAGGTAGGTATCTTTATTACTCCGTTGGCTGGGGAAACCGAGGCTGAATGGGGAGGGGGATAAGATCCCTTTCTCCTTCCCTCCCAGTCTTCTCTCCTTCAAGAAGTTTGGGCTGGGACCCCAAAGATCTGAGTGCAAGATCAGGGCCCCCTGAAGGGCTTGTGGGAGTTCCTCTTCCTCCACAGAGCCCAGGATGCTTCTCAGCTGAAGCGGCTCATGGAACCCTCGGCCACTCCCGGGGCCCAGCCCGGAGTCCCCACCGGCAGCGGGGAACCCTTCCACCTTCCTCCGGACTATGAGGACGAGTTCCTCCGCTACCTGTGGCGCGATTATCTCTACCCGAAGCAATACGAGTGGGTTCTCATCGCAGCCTACGTGGCCGTGTTCCTCATAGCCTTGGTGGGCAACACACTGGGTAGGTGTCTGTCTTCTGAGGACTAGAGGGAGACCCTCCAGGTCTTGGCTTCATACCCCTTCCTGCTGGTGAGGTGGGGATGGGGGCTCAGTATCCCATGGAGCCTGAATAGGCACAGCTGATGCTGACTTAACCCACCGGGCTGATCTCTGCAGTCTGCCTGGCTGTGTGGCGGAACCACCACATGAGGACAGTCACCAACTACTTCATTGTCAACCTGTCCCTGGCAGATGTGCTGGTGACTGCCATCTGCCTGCCTGCCAGCCTGCTAGTGGACATCACCGAATCGTGGCTCTTCGGCCATGCCTTGTGCAAGGTCATCCCCTACCTACAGGTTAGCTCTACCACACCCCTCAGTAGCCTCATTGTGCCTGTTTAACACCTGCGACCTTGGTGGGTCTCAGTGACCCTAAGTCTCACCTTTCAGGCAAGTCACAGTGACTCAGGACTCTTGCAGGGTCACCCAGACCACTGGGCTGTACAATCAGGAATAGACACAGCCTCACATACTCACATAGACATTCCCTACTGGTGACAGGCACAAACTCGGCCATGTGTGCACACAGTTACCTCCAGGTATATGGGAACATAGAGAGAGGAGACAGGAGCCTACAGGGACAGTCCCAAACGCTCACTGGGTCTGCTCCCTGATCCCAGTGGGGACCAAATGAGAGAGTCAAAGAGATCTCTCCTCTCTAGTCTCCTTCCCTAGTACTAGACACCAGGATGCCAGATGGTGATCAGTAGACTAGAAGAGGGCTAGCCAGAGGCCACCAAGCCTCTCAGTAGCCCTCAGACCTCTTCCTGAACCCTGGGAAACTGGAACACCCTGGAGGCAATGCCTGCCTATACTACCTGCCGACTCATCTATGCCTCTCAGAATAAGGGCTCTCCTCAAAGCATAGGGAAGGGATGACCTGCAGGGTGACATAGATGCCACCTGGATTTCTCAGTGCTTTGAGGCCTTCTGCTCAACTGACTCAGTCTTTTGAGCTTAAGTGTGAGGGAAGAATGTGTCTCATTTCCTCATCCATAACAGCACCTAGCTCATTGTGAGGACATGGAGAGGAGTGCCCGCCACACAGAGTGTCATCGTTCACAGTACAGTAGTGCCTCGTGTGTGTCAGGTCTCCAACTGGACATTCTCCATACACGATTTCATTTATTCTTACCAGAATCCTGCCAGATAGATGCTATATTTCCATTCTGCAGATAAGGCTCAGAGAGGGTGAGTGACTTGCCTAAATTCACACAGTCTGAAAGTGGTGGTGGAGTTAGAATTTGCTGCGCTGGTAGCTCTGGGCTGTGAACTGCCCCCCCCCACCTCTGATGTTGTGTCCCTGTGGGGCAGGCCGTGTCAGTGTCAGTGGCAGTGCTGACTCTCAGCTTCATCGCCCTGGACCGCTGGTATGCCATCTGCCACCCGTTGTTGTTCAAGAGCACAGCTCGCCGGGCCCGTGGCTCCATTCTAGGCATCTGGGCTGTGTCACTGGCTGTCATGGTGCCCCAGGCCGCTGTCATGGAGTGCAGCAGTGTGCTGCCTGAGCTAGCCAACCGCACCCGGCTCTTCTCTGTCTGTGATGAGCACTGGGCAGGTAACAGTGGGTACCTCTAGGACAGGGGACTTCCAGGGTGGGCATCTGCTAGGGGTCGCTCCAGGATGATACCACTAGACTGGTTAATTCCAGGCTCTCTCCCTGCCATGGTCTTGCTTTGGTCCTTGCTGGAATGGGGTGGCGTTGCTGAGGCAGACTGGGACTCCCAGAATAGACCTGACCCTTACATCTCATGACCCCTACAGATGAGCTCTACCCCAAGATCTACCACAGCTGCTTCTTCATTGTGACCTACCTGGCCCCGCTGGGCCTCATGGCCATGGCCTACTTCCAGATCTTCCGCAAGCTCTGGGGCCGCCAGGTGAGGCTAACTCTGGTGTCACCGTCTGGGCTACAAAGGGTGCAGCTGTTGTTCTAAGGGAGTAGATGGTCCCTGACATCAGAATATGTTAGCCATGCTGTGACTACAGAGAGGCCAGGCCCAGGGCCCCAAAGTGTCTTGCAGCCTCTTTTAATTAATGAATTATCTTTTGGTACTGGGAGATCCGGGGCCTCACATATGCTAGACAAGTGTGCTACCACTGAAGGGTATCCCCAGACCCTTTCTCACTGACCCTGTGCCCTCTTTCCTGTTAGAAATGTTGTGGCATGGTCTTGCTAAGTTGAACTGACTAGCCTGAGCTTGCAATTCTTCTGCTTCGGCTACAATTAAAGTCAGCTTTAACCACCATATCATATCCTCTCTCCCCCCAAATACGTGAGAAAACACTCAGAGAAGTGACGCAATGTTCCTTAAAGCACTCAGCTGGTCAGGAGAAAAGCAGGAGTTGGAACCCAAATCTGATGACCCAATGCTCAGCTTGGTAGCAGAACATTAACCATTGCTGCTCCAAATCGCTCAACCAGCGAGGCTTCATGCCCAGGGTCTTAGAGCTAGCTGAGGAAGAGGCGCTCTTGCCCACTTCACAGTGTTAGGGGCGACCAACTGCCAAGGCCAGCTCATTCTGGGCATGACTTTCTTCTCATTACATGGACCTACAGTGGGTTCCCTGGGGTGGTGTTCACAGGAAGATGGATTCTGAGAGACGTTTGCACTGGTGGCAGTAAGTCCTGGTCAGTATCCAGGCAGTGAGAGGACATGAGCCACATGGCTGACTGATCTGGATAACACCAACCGTCTGGGGTGTCCCAGGTGTTAACCTAGGCCATGCAGGGCAGTGGGTTGGGTTAAGTCCAGGACCTGCCTTGCAGGAATGTCTCCATGACAGATCTATGCTAAGGAAACAAAGGTTTAGAGAAATCACACAGCTTGTGAATGTGTGAGCAGTTTCTAAACTCTAGTTTCTTGCATTCTGGTTCCATGCTTTGGTTGTGGGGTGATTGTGATGTTCAGTGATGGGAGGGCTTCCAGGATGTGTTTGATTCAGGAGTCCAGAACTACTCAGGCTTCTGGGCATCCACCTAGGCCCTCCTGACTCCCAGGCCTCCCCACAGTGGGACATGGACATCTCTTCATGACTTAGCTAGGCACCTCATCCCAAAGATGGAGCTCTAAGGAGGACGGGAGAGCAGTTAGGAAAGTGTTCAGACCCCACAGTGTGGCAGTTTCCTTGTATGCCCCTACCTTGCCCCCCAGGCCCAGAGTGTCCCTAGTCAAAGGGAATGACTGTCTCTCAAGGAGTAACATCCACTGCTGTCGTGTGTGTGTGTGTGTGTGTGTGTGTGTGTGTGTGTGTGTGTGTGTGTGATAGATCCCTGGTACCACATCAGCCTTGGTGAGGAACTGGAAGCGGCCCTCAGAACAACTGGAGGCTCAGCGCCAGGGCCTGTGTGCAGAGCCCCAACCCCGGGCCCAAGCCTTCCTGGCCGAGGTGAAGCAGATGCGAGCTCGGAGGAAGACGGCTAAGATGCTAATGGTGGTTCTGCTGGTTTTTGCGCTCTGTTACCTGCCCATCAGTGTCCTCAATGTCCTTAAGAGGTGAGGACACAAGGGGAGCATGGGGGGGAGGGGCTTTGTGGTCTGAGGAAGACCACCATTCAGACCCCTCCTCTCCACCCTGGGGGAGGTGGTTGCTCTGCTGTTTCCATCTTCTCTGGTGTTCCATGAGGATATCAGGCCTGCCTCCAAGGGCAATTAGGAAAACCCGTTCTTCCATGCCCTTGGCTCTCAAGTTCTAGGGTGATTGGCTACAAATGACAGACAAAATCCCCATCTTCATAGAGGCTACCCTCCAGTGGTAGAGAAGTAAAACCAGTGTGTATCAGGCAGTGAGGGCTATGAAGAGAAATGAAATACCAGAAGAGGTCAGAGTGTGATGGGGGGGATCTCAGATACACTGTTGCTATTTAAAGGATTCTCTAAGATACTGGGAAATACATGACTGTAATCTCAGCACTCGGCAGGCCAAGGCAAGAGGATCATGAGTTCAAAGCCAGCCTCAGTTACACAGGGAGACCCTCTCTCAAAACAGCCTCTGAGGCTGGAACCCATGAGAAGATACTTGGCAGACATGAAGAGGCAAGAGCCTCCCACAGGATGGGAGGACAGCAGTTTAGGCAGAAGGATACAAGGACACAGCGTATGAGGGGTCATGGGTCATCAGTGGAAGGTCATGGAGTAGTGGACAGCAGCCAGTCTGGGTTTGGCCATGTCCTGACTTGTGTGATCCTGGGTGTGAACTTCTCTAAGCCTGTTTCTTCAACTGAACAGATGGATGCTGCCCGTGATGTCTGTTTCTGTTGGGATGGGTGAGAAGGTAGATGGGGTTGGCTCCAAGTGGTCAGAAAGCTGGAGACTGAGGTCATATTGGTCCCTGTCCCAAGGCCCATCCCGGTCAGAATCCATGCTTGGGTACCCACAAGATCTCAAGCCAAGTGCCCCAAATGGACAGTAATGAGAAGTGGGGACCCTTACACTTTGTAACTAGAGGTCTGTGGGCACCCTCCCCCCACCCCACCCACCTGTCCTGCTCCTCACCATCCTTCCCACTGTCGCTAGAGTGTTCGGGATGTTCCGCCAAGCCAGTGACCGGGAAGCCGTCTATGCCTGCTTTACTTTCTCCCACTGGCTAGTGTATGCCAACAGTGCCGCCAACCCCATCATCTACAACTTCCTCAGTGGTAAGTGGACTGTGCATGCAGTGACTCAGGGTGGCCGTGGTCCCTGGTCCCATCTCAGGCTGGTCCGAGAGGATGTACCTGCTCTCTAGCTCTCTCTGGGAATCCTCCACTCGAATACACTGCCCTTCCCACGAGCCCTGATCTGAGCTATGACCAGTCACTAGCACCCAGTATGGAGTCCAACCAACCTGCAGACTAGTGCCTCAGAGGAAGGGTGGGGCCTCGGCCTCCGTCCTTCAACCAGGGAGCATGCGCAGCAAGACTTCCTACTAGCTTTTCTGTTTCTAGAGAGAGCTGGGCCTGAGAAGGGGACCCGGCAGGCCCTGACTGAAGGAGATTGTGTAATCTAGTTGAGGGATAAGGGACAGTCAGCAGCAGAGACAGCCAAACAGACACAGGGTAGGGTGGACAGAATCATGGCTACCCCTGGATCCACGAGCCTCAAAGCAAATTTCCAGTCTCTCTTCTGGGAGTCTAGGCCCCTGACCCCATTCCCACCATGCCGTCCTATGCTCCCACCCATGTCCTCTTACCCCCCCCCCCAGTCTCTTTCAAAAGAAGTTAGATGTTTGAGACAGGGTCAGTGGTCCCTAGTGCAACTCTCACTGTGACTCAAGAGTTACTCAACCAAGGCTGCCTAGACAGAAGAGTGGAACATTATAGAGAAAAGAACAGGCAGCCACCTGGATGCACACGGCTTGTCTGGCCTGTGCTTGCTGAGGAGCTACTGTGTTCTGTCCGGAGCTGGATACTAGAGAATGGCAGGCTGGGGACATAACTGGGGAGGGTTTGCCTTCAAGAAATCCTCTGTCACCCCCTTCTGCCCCCCATATACACACATGAGCTAGACACAGTGCTGTGCAGTCCCTCGTCACACACTCTCCCCTGCCCTTCAAGAGATGAGCTTGGGGTTAGAGCCTCAGCCTCAGTTTCCAGCCGGGTGGCCTTGGGCAAACCACCCACTTCTGCACCTCTCATCTGTGATGTAAGGCAGCCTCACAGGGTGTGGCGAACGCTCTGGGGGATGAAGTCTGAGGCGCTGGCACAGCCCCTGCCTGGTGCAGTGTGACTGCCACCTGCAATAGCTGCTGCTCTCATTTCAATACCACTGGACAGAGCTGGGGGAGGCTAGCCACAGTATAAATCCCGAGCTCCCTCCACATACACAGCATGGAGGGCAGAGGTGACCTGAGGACCCTGAGCCAGACACCACGTCTTGAGCCAGGCTCCCAGCCAGAGTGCAGTCAAGGAATCAAGACAATTGCATTTTGCTCCAGGAACCCGCTGGGGCCTTCTTGTCCTCTCTGGCTGGCAGGGCTGAGGTGGCCTTGGGCTCTCCATTCCAGCACACCCCTCCCTCTGTGCCCCACCACACAGCTTTGACTGCCTGGAGCCATGGGGGTGTTCGTTGAGATCACACCCCTTCCTGCTGCTTTTGTCCCCTTATGGCTGTGTCTTTTGTCTCCCAACCAAGGCAAATTTCGGGAGCAGTTTAAGGCCGCCTTCTCTTGCTGCTTGCCTGGTTTGGGTCCCCGCTCCTCTGCCAGACACAAGTCCGTGTCTTTGCAGAGCCGGTGTTCTGTCTCCAAAGTCTCTGAGCATGTCCTGCTGACCAGCGTCACCACAGTGCTGTCCTAAGTGGGGGCCCGCCCAGGCTCTGGGAGGCACAGCCCAGTCCTTTGCCTGGGATCCGCCCCAGCACTCATGAAAAGACTGCTGCTGCTCAGCGAGAGGTTGTGACTCCAGTCCTGGCTTTCTGCCTGGGTGACTCAGCCAGAGCCATTCCCTCTCCGAGGTTGTGTCCCCTAAGCAGGGTTGATAGGAGGCTTACGCATACTCAAGAAAGCTGTAAACCATCTAGTGCTGGAGACATGGTTAGTGGTACCTGCCGTGTGGCCGGCTATACCCTACAGTGTCACCTCACCCTTTCAGAGCTTGGCTTTCTTCCCAAAGACCTGTCTCCTACCCAATTATAGGCCTTTCCTGGCTGGACTCTGCTCCAAAGGTCCCCACAGGCATAGTCAACTGGCCTGGAGGCCACCCAAAGCCCCGACCGAATATGGCCAGCTGCTCTGAGGTCCCTGTGAACTAATTCGGGTCCAGCCCTTCTCAGTGGGCTCTGAAGCACAGCTCACCCTCTCCAGGTGTGGACTGCATGCACCACAGGCTGGATCTCGTTGGCATTGTGGAGTGCTTAAACACTCTCCATGTGGCCGTTCAGCGTGGAGGCCAGCAGCCCGAAGCAATTGTAATTAAAAGCCTGGCACTGACTGTTCCCTTTTCTTGTCATGACACAAAATCTGTGCTGCTCGGGTTAGCAGTGGGATGGGGCAGCTGGGGGATGGCAAGAGGAGAAGGCTCTGGAATGCTCTTATCTGCTGCACAGCCTCGCCCCTGCCCCAGATGAACTGACTACAGGCCACACGGCCTAGGTGCCCAGGACTCATCTCTGACACACTTTCTGTTCCCTGCCCGATAACCATTGCACTGGAAGGAAATGAGGCAGATGGGCAGACAGTGGGGTTGATAGATTTACTGTTCCCAACCTTCTTGGAAATCAGGGCTTCCTTATCTCAGAATACAAAGGGAAAGCCATGGATTTGGCCAGCCATGCTCCAGCTGCGGTGGAGCGGATTACAGGGCTGCCAAAAAGGCCTCAACACCTGTTGCCACAGCAGAATGAGAGCACATTCTTGAGTTCCACTCTGCCTCAAGGAGCAGGGAACATCTGGATGAGGCCACTGAGGGTGGTGAGCACACCAGCAGGTGTTCACAGAGCCACAGGCTTCCTTGACTTCACCGGTCAGAAAGTGGAGCAGGACCTTGGGGGCCAGCCCAGGAGAGACTAGACATCGTGGCTCCTTGTAGACATGTCATTTTGTCTGGATCAGGTCTAGGTGTTAAACAGCTTGTCAGCTCTACAGACTCATCAGTCCAGTGGCCATAGTTGGCCAGCAGATGGGCAGTCCTAACCACTGAGCTCCCATTGGCTGGAATCCACATCAAGCGTGAGGGCAGGTCTGGAGGTGCTGTGCGCTTGGGATGAGGCATGAGGCCTGGCTCCCCCAGGTCTTAAACTCTCAGCACCCCCTCCCAGTATACAGCAGATTGTGGTTGGCACCGTTGTAAAGATGGGTTTGGGGACTAGAGGTGCAGCTGGGTAATAGGGTCCTTGTCTAACATGTGAGGCAATGGGTTCCATCCCCAGCACCACATAAGAAAACAAAGATGACTTCCAGGGGACACATGGCTCAGCAGGAGCAGAGGCGATGGCAGCTTCCTGCACAACTCTATCTTGCTCTGCTGGTGGAAGCCAGCCAGCATCGGGGTGGGTCTTCTTCCCCGGGGAGCTGATGCACCCAAGCACACTCTGGAGAGGTAGCCAACATGCCAAGGGCAGTATTGCTCAGTGAGGGGCATCCGCTAAGCGCAGGGCTACCTGGGCTATGAGGGAAGTTGGGCTGGGGGAGATGGCAGTGGGAGGCTCAACGTCCAGAAGAATAGCATGCAGGAAGGAGGGAGCTGCTCTGGCCAGCCCAAGAGAGAAACCCAGGGCCAGTGGACGGTGTTTCCAAAGTGGTTAGTTAGAACAGGAAGACGCTGCTATCAGTCGAAAGATAAAACAAGCAACCTGGAAAGTCCCTGTTCCCCTTTTCTTTTGGTTAGTGGAGATTGGTAAATAGAGCTGGACTCCCTGGGGTCCTCTAAGACTCCAGAAATGGATGGAGCTGGCCGTTAGGTTCTGGACTCTTGATTTTAGGACTGTGGAGCCACAGCAGCTCTGAGGAGCTGAATTGGCCAAGCCTGACGGGCCTGCTGGCCTCTGTGACCTGGAAAAAGCCACAGTCACTCTCCACCCCCACCCTGCAGGGAGGGCAGTATTGCTGAAGGCCTCAGCACTCTTATCTTCATCTCCCAAAGCCAGAGGATAATCACACCATTATCTGTGATAAGGCCCCCTAGCAAACTAGAATGTCTGGTGTCTTCAGCTTTTGATTGAAATTCTGTCAGCTCATTACAGACACAGTGCAGACTGGGTATCATGCTGATCTAGAAATGCAACTGGCAGGTACTGGTGTCTGTGCTTAATAAAAGTAGGGGGGAGTTATGACTTCATAAATGGAGTTTGCTGAGAGATAAAACTCAGGCCTAAGATAATAAAAAGAGCATGCTGTGAGAAGGCGGGGTGGCAGCTTCCAGCCCAGAACAGCAACCCCAAAAGTTGAAGACACTGTCAGCCTTTGGGCAGATCCCAGACACAGAGGAACCTGGCAGGGTCCCAACTTCATTCACCCTGGCAAATAAGATGATCGCCAGGTCTACCGAGGCCCCTTGCACTGTTGCTTCTGCATGGCTGGGTAAGCAGTGGATGCTTCCCTACATGAATGAATGAATGAATGAATGAACGAACGAACGGATGGACAAACATGGATACACTAGAGAGGAGTCATGATGGGAAACATGGGACTGTAGAGTCTTTTATTGAATCTAACAGTTTCCTGGACTTTTGGCCCCAAATGGAAAAAAAAAAAAAAAAAAAGCAAATTAAAAACATTGGCAGCGAGATGTAACAACTGTCCTCTGGGGACTAAAGCTGAGTGGAACATGGCAGGCCAATGAGCAGTCCAAGTTTTGGAGGGCAGGAACCTCATAAGATATGGCCGAAATGGCAGACTGTCCAAGCTTCTTGAGCAGGCAAAGCCTCAGGTAAACTAAGGCTAACACACAAGGATTGTGGGAGTTGAGGAATCCCAGGCACTGGTCCCAGCAAATCTCCTTCATGCTCAGTCTGATTCCACTTTGCAGAAACTGGGCTCACTGACCTGGTGGCCTCGGTGAGAGATGACAGTAGTGCCAGAAGAAGCCAGCTGATGAACACTTAGTGCTGGCATCAGGGACTAGGTGGGAAAGCCAGAGGCCAAAGACAGATGACCAGACACTAACTCTACCGCCACCACTGGCATCCCCTGCTCCAAGGCTGTGCCATTCCACAGCCCACAGTATTCAACCTTCAGTCCTTTCCTAGGTCAGGCTTTGCTAGGAGAGGAGGAAAGGAAGAGAGGCCATATCCCTTGGTGTGCTCCACTCCCGCTGGGTAGGCTGGGTCATAGCATCCGAGAAGCTGTCATGGTGACGAAGTCCTCAAAGCTGAGCCGAATGTTGCCCTGTACAGCAGTGTCCTTCTCCCGGAAGGCCTCAGTCAACACCTGCAGCTGGGTACACACCTTGATGAAGCAGTCAAGCTGCATGGCAGGAGCGGCGGAGCGCGGGCAGTAACGAGAAACCAGGAGCTGGGTGAACTGAGGGCTCAGGTTGTAGCCCATCTGGGACAGAGCTGGAGAGGAAGGGCACAGGAAATAGCCTGCCATGAGACCACCACTATAGAGCAGCACAGCAGCACAGCAGATCAGGGCAGCTGGGGAGGAGGGGATCAGCTCAGAAGTATAAGGAGGACAGAGAGGTCCTTCGATCCAGTCACATGTCAGGAGCACAGGTGGTCTCTTTGGACACCCCACCCATCATCTCATCAGTCACTGTCAAGGATCATGAGATCCCAGAGAGGCTAACGGTATCCTGTGACCATCTCATGCATCTGAGCTAAGTGTGAGCCACCAACCACCCTGGAGAGACAGATATCAGAGACACCAGCACAGCACGTGGGGTGCAACTGTCCTGGAGGCAGGCAGTTCTTGGTCTCCCTGCTCAGTCTCACTAGACCCTCTTATTGCCACTCCTGCAGGGTGATACTTAACCTATGCTTCTAATAAGGATCAAAGGCAATCATGGAGGCATGTGCCCTGCACAGTGTCCTATTTTAAATAAAAGTCATATCCCCATATAAGGCCACAGCCTGCATGTCTCTTCCATTCTCCCACTGAGATTGCTCCTGCTCTGTGAGCCCTTGGGCAAGGAACTAAGCTTCAGTTTTGTCCCTCATAAAAGGGAGACCAGGAGGGATCCTTCACCAATCGGTGTGCAATGGCCAACAGGGTCTGGCCCTTGGGACGATGAATTTCAAGAACCCACTGCAATGCTTATTACAGTGCCTAGTACGAATTTTGTTGTTGCTGTCAACCTCACCAACATCAGTGAAAGAAGCCAGCAAGACAGTGTTCGGTACTGACAACCTTCTAGCACGGGCAGACATGGCACGCTCACCCCCACACACAGACCCTCATCTGAATGAAATGCATAGCCTGGACAAAGGCCCTGGACTCTCTGGGCAGCCTTTTCCCCTCTGAGGTGATGGAACTTCTCACTGGGTTCTCAGAGCCACATCAGCCATCTGTCCTGGTAACCTACTGGCCTGAGTACAGGCTGCAGGCTTAACTATGGAGTAAGATTGGAACCAGATATGGAGCTGTGGTCCCAGGTCCTCTTACCCAGTCACAACTCTGAGAAGGCTCTGGCTGAGTGGCAACAGAACTTCCCTGAGCCCCGAGGCAGGGCTTTTTCCATGCCACATGCTGGGACAAAAACAAACCACACTGCTCTCCAAGTTCCCATCTCTCCCATGCCAGAGGGGCTGTGCCATTCAGCCCTGTCACCAGGGAGCACAGCACTGACTCCAGACCCATTGTTGCCTGACTTTGGATCTTGGCTCAAAGCCCAGTCAGGGTGCAGATCAGGTGGAATGAGTGGTACAGGTAGGCACTGGACGGTGAGAGGAAAACCCTTGGATGTGTTTTAAGACATGAAAAGGAATGCCATGCCGTGCCCACAGTGCCCACCATGGCCCTTACCTTGCTGCAGCTCTGCGGGGCTAATGGATCCAGAGCGGTCCCGGTCATACTGCTGGAAGAGGCTCTTCCACTGCTGGAGGAACTTCCACAGGGCTGAGAAGCCGACGACATCAATGCGGCCAGATTTGGTCTTGTCAAACATGTCTGAGTGGGAGGAGGGAAAAGACAGAGGAAGGCTTCAAGACTGAAGGGCACCACTGAGACAGCTCTTCCCCCAGGCTGAAACAAATGCCTGTGCCTGAGACAGACCAAATGTGGTACAGCCCTTCCCCTGGCCACTGTCCGTCCTGTCCCGTCCAGACTCTGCAGGGCTAGTAGCTTAGCTCCAAGGGGTCCATGCTGACCTCTTTCCTGCAGTTTCTTAGCAGGGAGGGGAGTGTCTGGCTGCAGAATGGGAAACTGGACCAGCCTGAAACTGAGCAACCTAGACTTGACAGCGATCCACTGTAAAGGAGATTGCATCTTAAACCTCGCTTCCTCCCTGGCTATCGCTCTCCTCAGAATACTTGCCCACTTCTGTCACTCGTCAGGTGGCCCGACCCAGCTCAAGTCTGCATGCTCTTGGAAGGGTGGGACTCACTTATCATCATGAGGCATGTCTCATCGTTGAATGAGGACCAGTTGGAGTTGACCAGGGCCTGCTTCAGCTCCTTGAGGGAGATATAGCCACTGTGATCGGCATCCACTGACTGGAACCAGGAGTAGGCCTCAGGATCCACATTGGGGGGGACACCACCTGGAGGAAGGGGTGTGAACCATGGTAGTCAGACCCAGGTCAACGAAAGGTCAGGGAGCCATGCTGGGCATCTCCCTGGCCACAGGCTTTCCCTTCTCTCCTAGTTATCTCCACTGCCACCTTGATGAAGCCTGGAGTCATTTGAGAAAGGAGTCCAACTGAAGGGCTGGATTGCCCAGATGAGATTGGCCTGTGGAGGACTGTCTTGACTGTTAACAGGTGTAGGAGGGTCTAACCTGTGGGTGGCACCATTCCCTAGGTAGGTGGTCCTGGTTGTTTACGAAAACTAAGTAAGTATAAGCCTGCAAGCGAGCCAGCAAACAGTGTTTCTCCATGGCTCCTGCTTCTTGTCAATGACTATAACCTAAAAGCTGAAAGAAACCCTTTCCCGCCCTAAATTCCCCCATCAGTGTTTTACCACAGCAAGAGAGCAAACTAGAATACCCACCCACTAAGCCTTGCAGGTCTGCCTATCTATCCATCCTCCAAGCGCATGCCCTTCTCTGAGAGAGGCTTGCGTGTCACCTCATGAAGGACTGCAGCTGACTTCCACAGCAGGGTCCTGCAAAACTTTGTGTACAGTGCCCCAGTAACTTCTCTAGTTGATTTTACAATTCCCACCCCCTCCAATACAACGAGGACTCTGTAATGGCCTGAGGGATGGAGTGACAAAGGTGGAGAAGCAGACTCATCTGTCTTAGTGAAGCAGGGCTAACTGACCACAAAAGGGGATTCTGCACATAAGAAGGTATCAGAAACAGACACGGGCACTGTGGAGGGCAGACCCAGGCTGGCTTGCCTCACTGAAGGTCTAGTGTAGGAGACCCAGGCCGGCTTGCCCACCTTAAACAGTGCACTGGGTAGCATTTACTGTTGACTTGACACAAATGGTCTCAACTGAGGTCTGCTCAGGTCAGAGCTCTAAGAGACAGGTCAGTGGAGGAAAATGAAAGGACACTTAGTGTGACCTCAAAACAGCGACAGCACACTTTAGACTTTTACTGGCCTGAGAGGCAGGTACCTCTGAACCCTGCAGGTCAGCCTCTGAGGGTCCAGGAAAACACACCCACCATACAGGGTCTGAGAATCAGCTTTTGCAGTGGAGAGTAGGGACAGAAACTGTTTTTTCTAGAGAAGCTGTTTTTTGATACTGTAAGGCGGGAGAGAAGTCAGACTCCTGCTTCTGAGACCTAGGACTCCAGGCCTAACTCTCTGGAACTCCATGAGCTGTGGGTTTCTTGAAGCCTTGGGTTCACTTTATAGCCCTGGTTTTGGAGTGGGGATTTCCTTTAAGACTGACCTGTGGGCACGTTTGTGGGGCACTGTCTTATTGGTGGTTGATATAGAAGCCCACCGTGGGCAGTACCATCCCTAGGCAGGTGGGCCTGTGCTGAAGAGAAAGACTAGCTGAGTGTGAACCCAAGAATGAGCAAGAGATCAAGGTGGCAAGCAGTGCTCCTCCTAGGTTTCTGCTTTAAGCTTCCTGCCTCAGTTTCCCTTGATGAAAGCCAAATAAACCCTTTCTTCCTCTAAGTTGCTTTTGGTCATGGTGCTCTTTACAGAAACCGAACTAGAACAAGCAGGGTCAGTGGGGAGGGAGGAGTTTCTGTTACAAGTGTGCCTGTGTGCTTCGAACAGAAGAACTCAGCCTTAGATTCAAGGTAGACCTGGATTCAAGTCCTAACTGGTTTTTACTAGTTGTGCAACTTCAGATGAGATAAGTAACTTTTTTGAATTCCAACTTCCATATTTATAAAATGAACCGTGTCCAAGAGTGTTTGGAATGAGACAACAGCAAGATGAAGCCCTCAGCAAAGGTTGGAAAGCGGGTGGTGGGGGCATTTTCAGAGAAGGGGTATTTCAGCTGCTTTTGAAGGAATGAGGAGCTGTGGGGGAGGAGAAGGCAGCAAAGAAACACCCAGGATGCATTTACAGCATCTCTGCTGGATGGACAGCAAGGGCTGATGGCAAATGCGGCAGCCAGAGGCCCTCTTTCTGCAAACAGAGGAGCACCGCCAATGGTCAGCTCTGTCACCCACAGTTGTATACTAGTACTCAAACCCAGGAGGTGGACCTTCCCAGGACTCTAAGGCAAGTGCATAGATCAGGATGTATGCAGTACCACTCCCAGGTGTTGCTAGCCACCCTAGAGAGGAAACAATGCAGTCAAATGAGAGGGAGGCTGAGCACATAAGGTGAGCCCCTCCTCTCCTCCCCTGCTCTACACACTACAGCCACTTTCAGGCCCTCAGAGTCAGGGGCTCCTTTCCCTGCAGACTTCCTATGAGCTCAGACACAAGGTTTTGGAGGGTACAGAAATCCATTTGCAGAGCCTCTAAGTTGGAAGCCAACAGCCAGACGCTTGGGCTCTGAGAAGATAAATGCCACTGGCTGGCTGGGCGCAGAACCCCAGAGGTTTGGGCATCTCCCCCAGGACCACCTGCCTGGGTACATTCAGATGCTGTTTGCTTCCTAAGCACAGCACTCCCTGGAGGCCCTTCTCATAAGCCAAAGCAGTTCCTGGCTGCCTAGCTGGTGCTGGGCCCCTGAGAACAGCAGTGCTGTGAAGGAGCTGACTAAAGGGAACCCGGGAAAAGCAAGGACTGGCACCCACTTTCCCCAGCCCTCTGCTAAGAGACCCCAGCTAAAGCTCTTCAATCTCAACCCTCCTTGTCTTGTCTAATACCTTCCCTCCAGCCTGCGGCTCTCTTTCCCCTTCTCTTTCATCCTCTTATTTGCCATAGCTACCATCACATTTCACACCAATATTCTCCTGTACTGTTACAAGTCTCTCACAGAGTGCTGTCCATTAAGTTCAGATGCTATGCCTAGCATTAAGCTGCAGCTTCACATTTAGTCCTTACTAATCAGCCTGTGAGGCACTGTCCCTATTTCACAGAGCTGGACACTGAGGCTTACAGAGGCAGTTTGGGCAGGCCAGGGTCTGATTGGAGAAGCTTTCACTGGTGACATATTTTCTTTCCACAGATGTGGCCAGTCACCCTCCTACAGGAACGGAGTTTCTTCTCCCATGGACTACATTGCTGTCTCCAATTATCTTCGGATCCCCCTTCCTGATCCAAGCATTGTACACCCTCTCCCACCGCCTGGTAGCTCAAAGATACCCTATGAGAGGAGCACCATCTCCAGCCGGGGTTCAGCTTGACAACGGGATGTGCTTCGGCCAAAAGAACATGAGTAGATGAGACATCAGTCCTTCTGAGTGGACCCTGCAGAGCTACCGCCCAGCCCGGCTAGCTTCTTACTCTTTCCCTCTACCCTAAGGACAACATGCCCCAAAGGGGATGCTCCTTCAGCACTAGTCCCAGAATGAAAGATACATGGAGCAGAAACTCAGCTGGCAACCCACAGTTGCTGACACATGAGCGAGAGTAAGCAAACAGTAGAAATAAATGCTTGTTGTAAGCCAAGAGGACTTTGGGAATGTTGGCCCAGTAAAGCTAACTGATGGACTTCTCATTCGGCCAGTATAGGCAAAGCAGGAAGCGAAGGGCTATGGTGCCAGAGACTGGGGCACACGCACATCTTCAGGAAGGACAAGGAGGGGACATGGATAGCTTAGACCAGGTCAGAGGTTCTACACTGGGTCCCAGAGCTGAAGGTTCTACTTACCCTGTCCATAAGGTCCAGGCTGTTGGGCACCATAGGAACTTGGAGGTGGCTGACCGTAGGGGCCTCCTGGAGGTACACCACCATATGGTCCGCTGGGAGTTCCAGAGGGGAGTCCCCCAGCACTGGGGTATCCATAGGGCCCTCCGGGGGCAGGACCTCCGTAACCACCGCCAGGGGGAAGTCCACTGCCATACTGGCCCCCACCATGGGGAGGTCCAGGGTAGTAGCCACCTGGGGGTGCTCCAGGTGCCTGTCCTGCAGCTCCCGGGAAAGTCTGCAGGAAAAACAGGCATGAGCAGGGTGAGGAAAGAAGCCACAGCATAGCACTTTACAGCTACAAAGCACCTGCACTGCCCACAGGTGAGGTTGGACTTACATTTCTGCTCAGGTGGCCTTGAGGCTTCTAGGGAAGCTACTTGTTACCCAAGGTCATACAGAGTCCAGACTGGCATCTTATCCTCCTGACTTCTCTTTCCTGTACATCAAGGGCCCTACAAGGCCTGGGATCATGTTTGACTTGTGGCTTTATCCCTAGCTCCAGGGGACAATGGATGCTCAGTAAATATATGAACAAAGTGGAATGCTCACCCTTTGGGATCTTGACCTCCACCTGCAGAATTCACAGCACAAGTACAGTCTTTGATACAAAGCTCCGCCCCTCATCAGCCGCCAGTGATGTAGTCACAGCATGGACCCTCCACAGCAGCTCAAGATGCACGAATAGTCCCTAACTTCATGACTCTAAGGTAGACAGGGAGCCTATCCCCAGGGCAGTAGGGACAAAACCCAAATACCACCGTTCAGGTTTGTCAGCCTCTAACTCATGCCAATAATGTACTAGGGAAGGAAGACGAAGCAACTTCCTCCTGGAGTAGTCTGACCAAGAGCCAGCCCACATATGAATCCTCCACTCCTTGCCCTCTGCCTTTTGCCTAACCCTGGAAATAGGTTGTGTATTTGTTGGAGAAAAGCCCTGCATGGAAGTAACAGAATCCTATAGAGTCTTTATAGGAGGGAATGAAAAGAGTTTTGTTCTCAAAAACAAAAAGCTAATTGCCACTCTTCTGAGGTTTGCAAAGGGAAGTTGAAATTATTCTGAGATCTAGAAGGATGAAAACAAACAAACAAACAAACAAACGAGTTTAATCCCAGCACTTGAGAGGCAGAGGCAGGTGAATCTCTGTGAGTTCAAGGCCAGCCTGGTCTACAGATCGAGTTCCAGGACAGCCAGGGCTATACAGAGAAACCCTGTCTTGAAAAACAACAACAAATCAGGGTCTTGTCTAGTAAGTCTATCCAGTAAGTTGGACAACTCTGGTTCTGTCCTGGTAAATAAGAGTCACTGTTGGTTTGGGATTAAAACAAAAGTTTTAGGTATATTGGGAAGAAACAACCATTGTAAAATAGCTGAAAAGGGAGTGAATCCTGCTGCAAGGGAAAGAGGAGTGTTCAAGATAAACAGAGAGCATAAATCTAAGCTGTCCTCCTTCCAGGCTCAAGCCACTCATTGGAACTGTAAAGCAAAAGGAATTAAGGAGATGAGTCCAAGATCTGTAAGGGAGGCAAAAAGATGGGAAAGCCACTTTGAGAATTCTCAAGGGAGGCCAAAGCAAACTGATATTGCCCAAGAGCTAATGAAAAGAATTTAATATTATCTTTTTGGGAACAGACCATTGTAATCAACAAGGGAAGGATGATGGACAATATACCAGACATGTATACCAGACATGGAACACCTAGCTGAACTCTGCTGGGACAAGCTGCAAATGAAGAGAGACTTGTATTGAAGTGTGTAAATCCTTTAAAACAGACATATACTTTAGTATAAGAGGCTAATTGGATATCATCCATATACTGAAATATGTAATAAGTATCTGAAGACTTTTATCTAATAGAGTGTATTGCCTTTTTAGCGGTAGTACTATACTATATACCCACCACTGGCAGCTGGAGAAGTACTTGCCATTGGAAGGGAGATATAGGTGTTTGCTTATTGACAGGAGGCACTGAGAAAGCAATTCTTGATGACCAGGGCATAATGGAATAGTAAAAAAAAAAAAAAAAAAAAAAAAAAAAAAAAAAAAAAAAAAAGCAATTATTTTAAATCAGTAACTATAAACATAGGAGAGGTGGAACTCCAGGCTGGATGGCTCCAAGAGATGAAAAGGAGCATTAATAACATGGAGATCACATAAAAGCCTCCATTTAACAGATTTTGGGGAAGATAGAAGATAGATAACAGCACTGAACAATGGGTTCTATATGGTCTGGCTGAAGTTGTTCTTGGATTAGCTGACATAATTGCTTACGTTTGTCCCCAGTTAGGGGGACCTTTGATCCAAGAAAGCTTAGGTAGGTGTTTCTCATGGCCCTGAGGGAAAGGGATATTCAGGGGCTGTCACAACCCCACTGCCACAAGGGAGAAAGATAAGGGTAAAACAAAGAAGTGGAAAACAGCAGTTTGATTTTGGAAAACTGCACGTAAGGTTTCTGTACTTACAAAAGTGGGGGATTACTTTTGTCACCAATTCCTTGAATGTCTAAAACCGGGGATTCAATGTGCCAACTAGGCCAGAGTTATTACACTATAATGGAGACACCAGCTGCTATGTCTCTAATGCCCTTCATGGGAATCTGGCTGTTAGAAATACCAACTGAGTCCAGTGTGCCCTGTGGAATCAAGTTCTTCCTTAGCCTGTTATCAGTGTCTATAGGGTGGGATAAGGATTAATAATCAATTTTATCAACTGAGTTAGAGCTGGAATTTCTTGGAGCAGCTGGCAATAACCTATAATGTGAATCTGACTAATGTAGTCAGAATCAATGACATCTGGAGGAAAAAAAATCTGGGCAAACAAAACTTTTAGAGTCCAGTTACCTAAAATCAAGTCAAAACATTTGTTGGAAGGGGTTCCTCTTTACCTCTTCTATTACATTTAATTTTATATCCTAATTACAGATAGATCTAATATAGAAATACCTTTAATAATCCAACCTCTTGATGTCTCAGGCTTGGGATGGAGCTGGGTGGCGTGAGGCAGAAGTACAAAGCACAGCACCCGTAGTTCTGGGCCCCTGCAGAGGCAGCGCAGGGCCAGGGCACTGGGACCACAGGCAGGGAACCAAAGGGGTTTGCTGCATCACCAAGCTGCCCTCAGCACTCATCCTTGTGCGTCCCTCAATTGGACTGCCTTCACTAGCAACTCTAGATGGGCACTGACTGGCCCAGAGAAGCCATCTTTACATTCACAGTGCATTTTAGAAAGGGGGTTTAACCATATTGAAGTCCATCAGTAAGTTTTGTTTTTAGAAATGGTCTCTTTCACCACATTTGAAACACAGAGGGAGGGCCACAAGGCTGCTGCCGGAATGTGAACCTTCCACTCTTACTTACGTGCCAATGCTTTGGTGGGCTTTTTTTATTATTATTTAAAGATTTTATTTATTTATTATGTATACAACAGTCTGCTTCCATGTATATCTGCACACCAGAAGAGGGCACCAGATCTCATAACAGATGGTTGTGAGCCACCATGTGGTTGCTGGGAATTGAACTCAGGACCTCTGGAAGAGCAGTTGGCGCTTTTAAGCTCTGAGCCATCTTTCCAGCCCCTTTGGTGGGCTTTTATTGATCAGTATAGTATGAAAAGGATGAACAACTACAGATAAAGAGTTTTTTGCAATCAGAATTTGCATTTTGTGAGCTAATGAAAGGATAGCTGGCAGCAGCTTCTTTATCATCTGTCTTTCCATAGCTTGCTGTGTAGACGATCAACCAAGTCCAAACAGGGCTCAGCAGACTTTTGTCTGATGGTGGAAAAGGACCCTGAGGGAGTATTAGGCTCAGCAACTTTGGTCCTAGCCCTTGCAGTAGCTGAGGCTGGCAAGTGGCTGAGCCTGTTTCAAAGTTTCCTTGTCTGATTAATTGGTCATAAGTAACATTTACAAGGCCTGCTGCCTGGGTTGTGCGCAACATGGGCAGGCATTTATGCATCCATAGACTGCATTAAGCAGTGGACAGAATTGTTTTTATGAGCTTGCCATTCAACAGGTATCATTTCATAGGTATCTGCAGTAACATTATTATCCCTCCAGTGAAATGGCTAGAACCCTATTCCCTGCACACACTTTGTGAGACCTTTGTATATGGCGAACGGAGCGCTTCTTGGTCAGGGTTTGGTCCTACTTCTCTAATGACTGGAGATGAAGCCACTGATTCCCCTGCCTCAGAAGCTTCTTTAAGGCCACTCTATGGAGGTGGATAATTTATTTATTTTACTTTGTTCTTTGAGACAGGGTTTTCCTGTGTAACCCTGGGGCTGTCCTGGATCTCACTCTGTAGACCACCAGGCTGGTCTCCAACTCACAGAGATCCACCTGCCTCTGCCTCCCGAGTGCTGGGATTAAAGACTTGTAGCATTACAGCCTAGCTCAGATGTGGACCATTTATTATATTACCAGTTGGCAGAGAATTAGGGAGAGGAGGTGCTGTGAGGTTCAGTAGGAGACACTCCTGGGAGACCCGTTTTCCTTTTGGAAAAGCTATATGGCTAAACTAACCTGGTTCCAAAGCATTCATGTTTTAGTTGAACCAGTTGTGTAGAGCAATACACCTGGTCACCAATTCTTTCCCAAGACTCCTGAATCAAATGTCCTATGGTAAGGATCCCAGAGGCAATATATTTTAATAACAGCCAATAAATTTGTCTTAATGACACTTTAGCTCCAATCCTTTTAAGTATATCTTTCAATTGTTCTGCATGAGCGTGAACTTCAGGAGACAGAGAATTCCGAATTAGAGTAAGAGCAGTTTGAGAGCCAAAGTGAGAAAGTAGAGGCAACAAGCTTTTGGGGAAGCCTGCTTGCTGCTTGTGGTGCACTGAGTAGTAGAGGCAAACTGGGCTTGATAGAGAGAAAGAAGAAAAGAGTAAGCATGGGTGTGTATGTCCCCTGCTCCTGGGAGCTGCTTACCAATTCTGCCAATCTGAGACACCCTGATTTACCTTTTCCTCGGGACCTCTCCACCCTGCTGGTGGACAAGGAAGGAGCTTTGGGGGATTATTCCTGTTGTTCCTTGTCTTTTCTGGTGCCCAAGATGTCCTAAATTAAAAGTCCCCATTTCCTTGGGCTCTCTGGATGGTCACATGAGTTCAGATCAATCAATAAATCATTCCACAAACTGGGGGCACCATAATTTATCAATAACACAGTAAGGAGCACTGTGTGATGGCACAGATGCCCCTTTAATCCCAGCAACCAGGAGCTAGACGTAGATGGGAATCTCTGTGAGTTCTAGGCCAGCCTGGTCTGAGTGAGTTCCAGGTCAAGCTTCAAAGCTACAGAGAAACCCTGTTTTGAAGAAAACAAAACCACAAAACAAACAAACAAACAAAAAAAACCCAAACCCACAACAATAACAAAACATACAATAAGGAATGAAAATGAAGCAACTCCTGTTGGAGTGATTTGACGAGAGCCCAAATGTGATTTCTTCACTTCCCATGTCTTCTGTTGGACTCTAACAAAGGTCTTTGCCCTGTATTTATTGAACAGCACAGAAAAATGGCATATGACAGGAATAAAGCACACTTTTGGGGGGGGCGCGTCAGTTCAAGACAGGGTTTCTTTGTGTAGCCTTGGCTGTCCTGGAACTCATTTTGTAGACCAGGATGGCCTCAAACTCAGGGATCCACCTGTCTCTGCCTCCCAAATGCTTGGGATGAAAGGCCTGAGCCACCACATGACTATTTTATTTTATTTATTTATTTTTGGTTTTTCGAGACAGGGTTTCTCTGTGGCTTTGGATGCTGTCCTGGAACTAGCTCTTGTAGACCAGGCTGGTCTCGAAGTCACAGAGATCCACCTGCCTCTGCCTCCCAAGTGCTGGGATTAAAGGCATGCACCACCAACACCCGGCCACCACATGACTCTTAAGGGACAATTTTCTATAGAGATCTTTAGCAGAGTTTTACTAAGGAAGAAGTTATTTCATTGACCCAGAACAGCACTCAAAACCTCACACAGATGTTGGCTGCTTTCAGTAAATGACTACCACATACAAACTTATACACACAC